GACTGACGCTAAGATCGGGATACAATCTTTTTCAAATCATGCCCCACTATCGTTGAGTTGAACTCTCCTGGGTAAAACAGCTAAGACGTATAACTAGAGACTTTACCCGGCTTTGTTGACTGATGTTGAAATCCTGACCGATATCACCAATACTATTAAACAATATTTTGATATCAATAAGGGTACGGAAACTTCTCCTATTATCATGTGGGAGGCACACAAATGTGTTGTTCGCGGAGTGTTTATTAAGTGGGGTGCCAGACGAAGAAGGGAGCAGTCTAGGAGAATTGCCAGGGCCTTGCAAGAAGCTAAACTAAATGAAAATATTCATGGAGTCAGAAACTCGAAAGGTACCTTGGAACATGACAATAAAATGATTGCCTTCTTATTTCACCAATATTACTCTGCCTTAATAAGTATAACTTGCCCTCCACTCAAACCCCCAAAGATCTTAAGGGTGAGAAATTTGATATAATTAATGATTTTCTTCGGAAAACTAAATTGCCTTCCCTGAAACGTTCAGATGTCAAATTGCTAGAATGCCCTATTGGGGGAGATAGAGTTGGTTAATGCTATACTGACATTGCAGTATTATAAGACCTTTAGCTCCCTACTCTCTCTATGCCCCTACTGCACACACTCAATTCTTTGACTTGCCATAGACTATACCCCCTTCTTTTTATCTTTCCCATATCACTGTCATCCCCATAAAGGATAAAGACCTTGCTGACTGTACAAGCTAAAGACTAAAAGCTAATTTCCCTACTTAACATTGATATAAAATTACTTGTGAAAATATTGGCCAACCAACTGAGACCCTACCTATCTGATATTATTGGACCGGAACAAGTCGGTTTTATGCCAGCCAGAGAAGAAAGTGACAATATTGTCAAGGCTCTTAACCTAATCCATAGGGTGAGGGTCGAGGGCCTTCTCCTCTCTACCGATGCAGAGAAGGCCTTTGATCGTGTTACTTGGAACTTTATGTTCGCTACATGTGCTCATATAGGGCTGGAACCTCACATGTTGAATTGGATTTCTGCTCTGTATCAGCATCCAACGGCTAAGATTAAGGTTAATGGCACGCTTTCTGAAACCATAACTATTAAGAATGGAACGAGATAGGATTTGATCCCTGTCCCTTTTCTGTTCATTCTCACTCTTGAACCCTCTATATAGCTGGTTCCGCAAAATCAGGCGATTCATGGTTTTCATATCAACCATGAAATTTTCAAAACTGCGGCGTATGCGGATGACCTGTTATTTTTCATATCCCAACCTCATATCTCTGTGCCTAACCTCCTGAGCTTATTCAGACAGTATAATTTTCTCTCGAATTTGAAAAATAAATTACACTAAATCAGAGGCATTGAATTTAACAGCAAGCTCTTCCCCCTTAGCCCTCATTAAGCGAAAACTGCTCTCTCAGGTGGGTTCCTACTGCCCTTAAATACCTGGGTATCTGGCTCACTCCACATCTCGATGACTTGTACACACAAAACTTTGTTCTCTTACTACGCACCAGGGGTGGACTGACCATTTGGAAACTCGGGCACTGCCCGAGGGCCCGGGGTCAGTAGGGGGCCCCATGAGATGCCCCTGGTACCTTTTTCATAGGCTTTTTTGAGTTTGGGCAAGGGCACAGGGGCCCCATGATCCCCTATTGCCCGGGGGCCCCATGAGTTGTCAGTCCGCCTCTGCTACGCACCATTCAGAAAGATCTCCGATATTGGCACTCAAAATTTCTTTTTGTTTGGTAGGACAGCCATCAATAAAATGAATATCCTGAATCGGATACTTTATTGCATGAATGTTCTCCCAATTAGGCTCCCATCAACCTTTTTTAAAAGAGATTACAACCAGCTCAAAGAGCCTTTGTGTTGGCCAATAAAAAAAACATGTATTTGATTCCAACTCATCACGTGTACAAAGAGTTCTGGAGGTATGGGATTACCAGACTTTATAAAGTATTACTATGTTAAGCACATTACCAAAATCATAGACTGGAATTGTCATACCAAGCATAAAAACTGGGTTTCCCTGGAAAGCTCGTACATTTCAGCTCCTTTAAGATTTTCACCATGGCTTTCAAAGTCTGCTTATTCAGAGCGTTTGTTAGCACACCCCTTAATTAGCGCGACATTAAATACGTTTCATGACCTTGCAAGGGCTTTGCTAGTTCTCCGGATCCTCTCACTCCTATTGCTGGTAATCCAGTTTCCCCTTGGGTTGGAGACTGGAGTGATTCCAGTTCATGAGTCAGGTTTATCTTTGTTGGCGGCTCATTGTTTCAAACGTGGGGGAGTAAATCCAAAGAATTGCTCCAGGAACTTTGCGGAAAGGTTTCGATCCCATACTGGACTTCTTTTCAAATACACAATTATCTGACTAATCATAGATGGAAGGAAGCTTTTTCTATGCCCTTCACAACTCTAGAAACGCTATGTTTAAAGGGGAAACCCATTGACAAAACCACCTCTCTAGCCTACTCATGACTTCAAAACACTCACTCTGAACTACCTGATAATTTTTTTGGACAGTTTGGGAATCAGGCCCTTCAGGTAGAGTTCTCTGATGAACAATGGAGGAAAGCCTGCATTTTTGCTCACAAATGCTCTATTAGCACTAGAACCCAAGAAACCTCCTAAAAATTGTTAATAAGATGGTATGCAATCGGATAGGTTAAAGACGTGGTTCCCCCAGATGTCAGGCTTGTTGTTTGGCAGACTCACATCGCCAGATGTTGGCGCTGGGAGTCTGCCAAAGGCTCCCTGTTACATGTTTTGTGGCAATGTCCACTGCTTATGCCATTTTGGGACTAAGTTGACATACTCTATTACTGAGACCACATTACCCTTAACCCTCAAATGCTGTCTCCTCATATCTCTGAGTGGTCATTGAAATAGTACAAACAATCCTTGGTGCGGCACCTGTTGAATGCGGCCAAGTTCCTAATCCCTAGGCATTGGAAGACTACTCATGCCCCCTCAATCCAAGATTGGATAAGAGAGGTTAACGTTATGCAGGAATTGGAAAGGACATTGACTATGACTGATGACATGGTTGCCAGATTCCACAAATTATGGTCCAGTTGGTATGCTTTAATTTTTTTCAGAAACGTACAGAGGGCTGATGGACAAATAACACTTTTCTACCTTTCGATGTGCGTATCATGCTGGTGGACACTTGACACCGCTTGTGGAATTAGATCTGTTCTTACGATTGCTGTTTTATTTCTTTCTCTACTAAACTTCATTCTTCTTTTCATGCTCTTTCTTATGTCAGATTTTATGCTTGTACATGCAATTTATAAATGTCTCAATTTGTGACTGCTTCATGTAGACCACTGATTTGATTGTACTATTCAGCTTTTCCTGAAGCCAACATTTGTTACCGAGTACTACATTGCTTCATAACCTGCAAAGCTTTTTGTAGTTCACTGATGCTTGTATGTTCTGCTTTTTATGAATAAATGTTAATTGTTTAAAAAAAAATCAAAAACTAAAGCTGATTGAAAAACTCTTCCTATAAAGCAGAACTTATAAATATCATCTGTTGTATCATTTGTTGCTAGGTTTTTTTTTTTTTTTTAGTTTTCCAATCAGCTTTAGTTTTTATTTTATTTTTAAACAATTAACGTTTATTCATAAAAGGCAGAACATATAAATATCATCTGTTGTATCATTTGTTGCTAGGTTTTTTCTTTCTTTTTTTTTTTTTTTTTAAACATCAATTGTTTAAAAAAATAAATAAATAAATAAAACTAAAGCTGATTGAAAAACTAAAAAAAAGAAAAACCTAGCAACAAACGATACAATAGGTGATATTTTTCTCTACTGGGTAATAAAAAAAACACCAAAGTTCAAAAACAACACCTAAAAAAGCTGTATGAAAATGGGAAAAAATGGGCAAAACCACGCGACAAAATGCACGAAAAATGTTAACTGCTACGCTCAGATATGAACAGAGCCTTAGTAAATTATCTTCTGGGTTCATAGTCCATGGTCGAACTTTCAGCAGGTTTGAATGTTTGACCATGAACTGAACAGGGGGGTGTTCGGCCCATCACGAATCTTAAATTCCTTATCTATCCAACCTGTTATAAGATCAAATCCTAATACTAAATTAGAGTAAGATCACCTCCTCTTTGTCCACTTCATTCAAGTTTCATTTTTGGGGTTATCCATGTTATCTACTCTTGAAGCTACAAACCACATCTCAATGATTTGTTAAAATTTCTTACATTTTAGGTGTCTCTTGTGAGCTGTGTGCATGTGGGAATGACACAATCACACTATCCACTATGATTTTGAATTCCCCTGTATTTCTTGTTAAGGGGTAAGATCTTTATATGGAATTTTATTGGTTAAAACTAACCCTTCTTTCTTTTCTTCTGCATTTTTTCTGTAATGGATTTTTTATTTTGTTATTTGACTGGTCTTTCTCTCTAACGCACATATAATGTACTGTAATATGTTACTGTATATGACCTGTTAAAATATACATGTTTTTTCTTTTTGTAGAATGTATGTATATAGACTATTTATGTAGCTTGTTCAACCTTTCATCCTATGAACAACCTATATTAGTCCCAAAGAAGTGGGAGGTCCACCGATACGCATAGACCTATCTAAACGGAAACCCAACATTACTAAGAATGACTATTTGGTTGTAATTTTGGTTTTATATGTTTTGTTTTTATCCTATTTGTGAAAAATATGCTTTTATACATACAAGATTTCTCTTCCTTTCCCTTAGTGGACACCAGTAGTATAGTCCCACCCTTTAACCTTTTTAGAATTGCCATAGATAAGGGCTGATACCTTGGTATCCCACACTGATGTAATAATTACACTCCCTACCACATGTACTACATTTACATACAGTATGGGGTCTAAAGATGGATTTTGTGTAAAACATAATTTTTATATAATATTATATGGTTTAGATATAGATCTTTCTCAGAATATTATTGTCTCAGTCAGTCATGGTATACTCACTGTAATTTCTCTATCCGGCTTGTTGTCAGAGCTGCCATCAGATCACTGAAATGAGGACCCTCCAGATTGTTCATAGACAGGTTCAATTTCCTCAGTGTCTGGTTATTTCTTATTAGAGATGCCAGGTGGGGGCAGGAACTGTCTGTCAGGTGATTATTACCCAATCTGTAGAAGAAGAGAAGAATGATACTAAAAGAAAACAAATTTCTCCTCCAGGAATGAATGTAACTATTCTCTACGTGATTTCTCTTTATTGGAATCATTTATATTAGATCACTTTATAAAATTCCAGTAAATACAATTTTATAATAAAATGTTATAATAGAGTTGACATCTCAATATTGTCCTCTGTGTACAATACAAATCTCCATACAATGTGGTATCTCCATACACAGGATGACCACAGAATACCACTGACATGATTCGTATCGTGCTATGATCTCCTTGTGTATGAAGAATGAATCGCATCAGCAGACAGTGTGAGGTCAGAATCACCATTACTAGTGATTAGACGAAACATTCTATTTATTTCTGCTGATAAGAGCTCTGTACTCATAGAAAGTAATGGAGAGATCCCACGGAGACTGGATAACAGATGGTGATGTCAGGTGACAGGAAGCTCATATGTGGCTTTGAACATTTATTGCAGTAAGATCAGATTCCCCAATGTATGACTTCCTATAATCTCCTATTTTAATAATTAAGAGACTAAACATAGTTTACATTGCATAGCAAGATTTTAGCAATATTTTACGAAAAGAATGTTGCATCACTGATAATAGAGTGTGATAAGAGCCAAGAATTGAACAACAGTCTAGGATTGGCTATACATAAAGGCAAACAGAGATATATGAAATTACATTAATATCATATAAATATTTATGTGGTTTATATATAAAGCTGTCCCAGAATATTATTGTCTCAGTTGGTCTTGTTATACTCACAGAAATTCCTCTATCTGGCTTGTTGTCAGAGCTGCCATCAGATCACTGAAATGAGGACCCTCCAGATTGTTAATAGACAGGTCCAGTGTCCTCAGTGTCTGGTTATTTCTTACTCCAGATGCCAGGTAGAGGCAGGAACTGTCTGTCAGGTGATTATTATCCAATCTATAGAAGAGAAGAATGATACCAGAACAAAATGAATTTCTCTCCCAGGAAAGAATATAACTATTCTCCACATACTGTAAATGGAATGCATTTCTCTTTATTGGAATAATTTATATTAGATCACTTTATAAAACTCCAGTAAATAGAATTTTATAAAAAAATGTTATAATGGCATAGACACCACAATATTGTCCTCCTTGTGTAGGTGATATTCCATACACAGGATGATCACAGATTACCACTGACATGACTCGTATTGTGCCATCATTTCCTTGTATATGGAGCATGAATCATATCAGCAGACACTATGAGGCCGGAATTGACAATGCTAGTGATTGGACGGGCTGATTTGTATCTGATATGCTATTTATCTCTGCCGATAGGAGCTTTGTACACATCGAAAGTACTGAGGCGATCACCCGACACTGAATACTGGATGTGTAGTAACGGGGATTTCCCTGACATTGAATAGTGGATAGGCATTTTCAGGTGACAGCAAGCTTACATAAAGCGCTGATCATTCATTTGCAGTAAGATCATACTCCCCTGTGTATGACCTATCATCTCACCAATTTACAAGTTAACTGACAAAACAAGATATCATTTTCTAAATTATATAATGAAATTAACTATCTTACTGCTGATAACAGAGTGTGGTAAGATCCCAGAATTAGATTGCAGCCCGTGACTGAATAGAGACAAAAGAAAAAAAACCATATAATTACATCATTACTATTTTTTTTTAACATTATTTAGTTGAGAGTTTCACTAAAACAGGAAAAGGCAATCATTGGTCACAATGATATACTATAAAATTCCAGATCGTGTATAAAAGAAAAAAAATGCAAACTAATCAAGTTAGATAGACCAGTCTTACACAATGAATAGACCTATGATACATCAGAAAGCGACTATAAAAGTTGGCCTACGGCGTCGGTGAATTTACTCTTAATTAGCCAAAAGCACAAAATGGGAAAATGGCTTCCAAGTATAGAGTAAGGGGGTGGGAGACGTGGAAAGGACTCCAACCTGAGGAAACATAGGAAACCACAAGCCTATAAGAAGGGGTAGATGTAGGAAAGGAGAAAAAAGTGGGGGAAGGGGAATGCTAACATGAGCATGCAGAGATATATGTAATTACCCACAAGTTTACTCACAAGAGAGGGAGACGTAAGGTGAAGAGATAATAATCATAGTTACATAGTTAGTCTGGCTGAAAAAGAACAAAAGTACATTCAGTTTCAACCATTAAAAAAAAAAAAAAAAAAAATTATAATCCTACACCCACAGTTGATCCAGAGGAAGGCAAAAACAGCCAGCAAAGCATGATGCAATTTGCTCTGGCAGGGAAAAAAATTCCTTCCTGATCCTCCAAGAGGCATTCGGATATTCCCTGAATCAACTTTACCTATAAATGTTAGTATCAAGTTATATTCTATGTATCTAAGAAAGAATCCAGGACTTTTTTAACGCAATCCACTGAGTTGGCCAGAACCAACTCTTGAGGGAGTCTATTCCACACCTTTCCATGTTTGGAGATTAAATTTCTTTTCCTCCAGATGTAAAAAAGTGCCCCCCTTGTCCTCTGTGATGACTTCAGGGTGAGTAACTCTACACCGAGTTCACTATATGAACCACTGATGTATTTATACATGTTCATCATATCCCCCCTTAATCTCCTCTTCTCAAGAAAGAATAAATTCATTTCCTCTAATCTTTCCTCATAGCTGATCTCCTCCATGCCTCTTATCAGTTTGGTTGCCCTTCTCTGTACTTTCTCCAGTTCCCCAATGTTCTTTTTGTGAATTGGTGCCCAAAACTGAATTGCATATTCCAGATGAGGTGTTACTAATGATTTGTACCGGGGAAAATGATATCTCTCTCTCTGGAGTCTATACCTCTTTTAATATATGAGAGGATTTTGTTTACTTTGAAAACTGCAGCTTGACATTGCATGCCACTATTAAGCCTATGGTCTACCAGAACTCCCAGATCCTTCTCCACCATTGATTCCTCCAGTTGTACTCCCCCCCCCCCCCCCCCAGTATGTATGATGCATGCATATTCTTCGCCCCCAAGTGCATTGAGGTCAGCTTGTAAGTTAGAGACATCCTATAAGGACGTTATTCCACTGCACAACTTGGTGTCATTTGCAAAGACTGAAATGGTACTGTTAATCCCAGACCCTATATTGTTTATAAATAAATTAAAAAGTAAGGGTCCCAACACTGAACCCTGGGGTACACCACTAACAACCCTAGACCATTCAGAGTATGAATCATTAACCACTACTCTCTGAATGTGGTCTTTTAGCCAGTTTTCTATCCATTTCCATACAGATTTTTCCAAGCCTGTAGACTTTACATTACACATTAGCTGTGTGTGGGAAACTGCGTCAAATGCTTTTGCAAAATCCAAGTATACCACGTCCACTGCTACCCCTCTGTCCAAGGTTTTGCTCACCTCCTCATAATAAGAAATCAGATTTGTTTGACAACTTCTGACTTTCATGAATCCATGCTGTCTGTTGCTTAAAATATTTTTTTCATCTATGTGGTCTTTTATTAAACTCTCCAGTATCTTCCCAACCATAGAAGTTAAACTAACAGGTCTGTAATTACTTGGTAAAGATTTTGATCCCTTTTTTAAATATAGAAACCACATTGGCCTTACGCCAGTCCAGAGGTGGTATGCCAGTCTTTAAAGAGTCCCAACAAATTAGAAACAATTGCTTTGAAATGATAGAGAGCTTAATTCTTTAAGGACCCGTGGGTGTATTCCATCCGGTCCAGGTGCTTTATTTACTTTTATTTTGTCTAAATATTTTTGGAGCATATCAATTTTGAGCCATTGTGGATTGAGCCCTGGGGCTGTGTTAACACCATGTCCATTATAAACAAGAGCTCCCCCATGCTCCTTTTGCATACACAGCTGAAGAAGGTTTTTAATAAATTTACCTTCTCTTGGGTCCCCAGTCACCCACTCTAGATTATTTTGTAAAGGGCCTACATGTTTGGACAAAGTTTGGGGGTTTGTCCTGCTATCTTTTGTAATCTGTCTTCAATTTAAATGTTTGCAGCCTTGATTTCCTTTTTACATATTCTGTATTTTCATTGTAATATTTAAACGATGACCGTGTTCCTAAATTTTTATATTTTATAAAAGCTCTTTTCTTACTATTTATAGCTTTTTTTAACCACTTGCCCTCCAGAGGATTTACCCCCTTCCTGGCCAGGCCATTTTTTTACGATATGGCGCTGTGTTACTTTAACTGACAATTTTGCAGTCATGCAACACTGCACCCAAATTAAATTTTATGTCCTTTTTTCCCCACAAATAGAGCTTTTTTCTGTGGTATTCGATCACCTCTGTGTATTTTATTTTTTGCACTATAAACAAAAAAAGAAAATTTGAAAAAAATAAAAATAAATTTGAACATTTTGCTATAAAACATATCCAGTAAAACAATTTAAAAAATCAAATTTCATCATACATTTAGGCCAAAATGTATTCTGCTACATGTCTTTGCTAAAAAAAAAAATCCCAACACATGTAAGTTAATTGGTTTACATGAAAGTTATAGCATCTACAAATGGCAGTATATAGCGGAATTTTCATTTTAATTTTTTTATACTAGTAATGGTGGTGATCAGTGACTTATAATGGGACTGCGGTGGGCATTCTGACAATGGGTGGGAGCTAACTGCCGCTGACATCCCCAGTGACATTAAGACAGTGATCAATGCTAATATAAAGCACTGACACTGTACTAATGACACTGGGTAGGAAGAGGTTAAAATCTGGGGCGATCAAAGGGTTAACTGTGTGCTGTGTGTGTTTCACATTGTGATGTCTGCTGTTTTACAATGGAGATATGATGCTTTGTATTTCTCTGCTGTGCAGAGAAATACAAAGCAACATTTCTATGCTGAGAGAGGAGAGAGCTGTGTTATTTACACACAGGTCTCTCAACTGTCAGCTTTCCCTGACGATCACTGAGTGCCAGCAGGAAATTGCTGTCCGGGACCCAGTGATTGACATCTCTAGCGGCCAATGGCGGAGATGCAAATCACATATCTATATACGTGATTTTGCACAACACTGCCACCCTGTAGCAGTACTTCTACTATAGGGCAACGGGCAAGCGGTTAACTTTGACTGTAAGCCACATAGGTTTTATTTTAAGGCTTTTAAACTTGTTGCCCATGTGAATATACACTATATTGACAAAAGTATTGGTCGGCCTGCCTTTACACACACATGAACTTTAATGGCATCCCAGTCTTAGTCCGCAGGATTCGAGTTGCCCCACCCTTTACAGCTATAATATCTTCAACTCTTCTGGGAAAACTGTCCACAAGGTTTAGGAATGTGCCTATGGGAATGTTTGACCACTCTTCCAGAAGCACATTCGTGAGGTCAGGCCTGAGGGATGAGAAGGCCTGGCTTGCAGTCTCCACTCTAATTCATTCCAACAGTATTCTATTAGGTTGAGGTTAGGCCAGTCAAGTTCCTCCACCCAAAATTTCATCCTTGCTTTGTGCACTGGTGCGCAGTCATGTTGGAAAAGGAAGGAGCCATCCCCAAACTGTTCCCATAAAGTCGAGAGCATGAAATTGTCCAAAATGTCTTGGTATGCTGACGTCTTAAGAGTTCCCTTCACTGGAACTAAGGGGCCAAGCCCAACTCCTAAAAAAAACCACCCAACACCATAATCCTCCCTTCACCAAACTTTACACTTGGCACATTGGCAACCTCCAAACCCAGACACGTGTGGATTGTGGGGGGGCACAAATTTTCTTTTTACATTTTGGTGTGGGGTTCCCCTTAAAATCCATAACAGACTGGAAGGGTTTGGTATGGATTGGGGGGGGGGGGACCCCCACACTGTTTTTTTCCTGAAATTTTAGTTGCCAATTGTTTTGTTTACACTTAGCTGTTAGCGGGGTTGTTAAGGACGCAGCAGTCACCCGCTCCTTAATGAACATGTTGTTTACTGGCCTGAGGTCAGCTGGTGGGTGATGGATCTGGGAAGAGAACACACACACACATCTTGAAAGAAACAGCTGAGTCTCCCTAGCATCATCACAATCCTAAGGAGTGGTGAGAAGAAAATGTGGCCAAGGTTGGATAACTAAATTCAAGTGTTAAAGAAACAGTTTGGATAACTGCCATGGTTCTGTAGTATTATTCCTTGCTCCTAGGAGGAGTGGATGATCTCCCAGGATAGTGTCACCTACTGCAGAGGCTGTGACTGGTGTGGGTGCAGAGATAGAGATACTGAGCCAATCAGGAACTTGGATTGGTTCCAAATCCACAAACATAAACAAGTCTGGCAGTTCAGATGGGTGTTTCAGAGCAAAAGTGCAGTTGCAGTTATGCACAATAAGGTGAACGGCAGATCTTTAGCACAGAGTCCATCCAAGAGTGATTTAATTGCCCATCGCATCTACAGTGTTCGCTGGGAATGCCCGGGAGTAAATTTAATATACGCTCCATCGAAATCCAAGGCAGCAGACTTAGGTCTCAGAGCTCTATGGACCCTTTCAATGGTGATGTCTGTCTGGTGTTGGCAGCACAGGTAACTGTTAAAGATTGCGGCAGCTGTGGCATGAAGGTCAGCTTGGGAGGTGACCATAGGGATTCCTTGTGGCCAAATATTCTGATGGCAGCTATAATTTACCAAGTTGTGAATTAAAAGGTGTAATTGTGCCCCCTGAGATCTTAGTGTACACAATGCACTCTGGACATGCAACTGTATTTTTCAAATCATCAGTCTCTTGTACCACAACATTTAGTTTACTATCAATTTAATTCACTTCTTGTTGCAATTTAAGTATATCAACATGGATATCAGTTTCCACGCTGCTCACTAGGTTTTCATAGCAGCAGGGAGCTGGTGTTCCTTGTGAGTGGCTGTGCCTGTTCCCTGGGAGTGGCTGAGGCCAGCCAGACTATATCTGCCACAGTAAATGGAGCTGTACTCATTGTGGGCTCCAATTAGTCATAGAGTGTGGAAGGCAGGAAGACAAATTGCTGAGTGGAGAGAGAGGTGGCAAGTTGTGTTCACTGGTATCCCTTTCAGTTCTCAGACACAGCACTCTGCACTGATGGGGAGCTCACATGGCACTCTGGGACCCACTGCTGGTTCCATCTTGCCAGTCTAAGGGATAGAAACTGTCGGCTGAATTTGTTTTAGAAAGCGTTCTATGGCAGGAGCAGTCCACAGCTGTAGATGCTTCTCTGGTTCCTCTTATTGGTCATCCACCTTGGTAGACAGTTAGAGATCGGTAAATGGCCATGGTAAGGCTGTAGGTGGTGGAGATGTCTGTAAGCTTTGCAAAAATGTGGATTCACTCCTCCAGGCCGAGATCATGTCTCTATTATTATTATTATTTATTATTATTATTATTATTACAAAAATGGATTTTGCTTACAACATCATTTGTATATATTATGTGGTTTAGATACAGAACTGTCCCAGAATGATATTGGTTGTGCCAATCAGTCCTATTATACTCACAGTAATTTCTCTATCCTGCTTGTTGTCAGAGCTGCCATCAGATCACTGAAATGAGGACCCTCCAGATTGTTCTCAGACAGGTTCAGTGTCCTCAGTGTCTGGTTATTTCTTATTCCAGAAGCCAGGTGGATGCAGGAACTGTCTGTCAGTTGACTTTTCCACAAACTGTAGAAGAAGAGAAGAATGTTACCAGAAGAAAATACATTTCTCCCCCAGGAATAAAATATAACTATTCTTTATGTAAATGGAGCTCATTTCTCTTTATTAAAATCATTTATATTAGATCACATTATAAAACTCTAGTAAATAGAATTTTAAAAGAAAAATGTAATAGAGTAGACACCCCATTATTGTTATCTATGTGTAGAGATGGTGATATCTCCATACACAGGATGACCACAGAATACCACTGACATGACTCTTATTGTGCTATATACCGTAATCTTCTTGTGTATGGAGCATGAATCGCATCAGCAGACAGTGTGATGCCGGAATCAGCAGTGCTACAGTGATTGGATGGGATGACATTTATCTGATATTCTATTTATCTCTGCTGATAAGAGCTCTGCACTTATGGGAAGTAATGGGGAGATTCCCCACATAGCATAGTAGATAATAAAGCTCATATAAGGCTCTGATTGGTCGATGCAGTAAGATCAGATTCTCCTTTGTATGACCTTTTTATAGTCTCATCTATTTCATTAGCTAAAACAAAACAGAATATCGGATTTTAACAAGATTTAATGAAATGACTACTTCACTGCTGATAACAGAGTGTGATAAAATCAAACTATTACAAAACAATCAAATATTAGCTATATATAAAAATATGAAAGTGATAATACATATTTGCATTATATAATTATCATGATATTTATATACCATAATTCCTCTATCTGGCTTGTAGTCAGAGCTGCCATCATATCACTGAAATGAGGACCCTCCAGATTGTTATTTGACAGGTCTAATATCCTCAGTGTCTGGTTATTTCTTATTCCAGATGCCAGGTGGGGGCAGGAACTGTCTGTCAGGTGATTACCAGCCAAACTGTAGAAGAAGAGAAGAATATTACCAGAAGAAAATTAATTTCTCCCCCCAAGAATAAATGTAAAACCTCATTTCTCTTTATTGAACTCATGTATATTAGATCACTTTATAAAACTCCAGCAAATAGAATTTTATAAGAAAAATGTTATAACGGAGTAGACACCCCAATATTGCCATCCATGTGTAGAAATGGTGATATCTCCATACCAGTGTAGGCCCATTAGGACCAGCAAGGCCTTCTCTGCTGGCCTAAAGGATCAGAATCACTGACTTGAGTTTTAATATATTTTTTTCCATAAATGTATATTCAATTATTCCCGATAGTCTAGTCTTTTAATTTCACAGCTTTTCTCTTGGTTGTATGGCTTCCAGTATTCAGGGCCAGCACTAGACTATTTTTCACCCTAGGCAAGACCAGCAACTTGCACCCCCCCCCCCCCCAAAAAATAAAATAAATAACAACAGTAGAAAATATTAAATCGACAAAACATGAAACTGCTAAATTTCTTTTAGTTTGCTAAAATAAGTGTCTTAAGATGCCACCTGCACCAATATTAAAGTCAAAGCGTATAATAACCAAATATGAAATAACTGTATTAACCAATCATACAGAGAAACAAGCAAAAAAAAGAGACAGAGTTACAAAACTCTGCAATGATCAGCATCCTTCAGCCAGTTTGCAATAAAGGACTGCGTCTGAGAGGAACACTGGAAGGAGAGACAGCTCAGCTGCTACACTCTCCCCAGACACCTGGCATCTTCCTCCCCCTCTGCCACCCCTCCCTTCAGCTGAAGGATCATTCATAACATGGCGGCGTCCCACATGATCAATTAGCATCCACTCCCCTCACCCTGATCATTGTCCGTCCCTCTCCTCCTCCTGTCACCTCCATGACCCACCATTCTTCTAGGCTCGGATCACCTTTGATGGCTCCTGCTGGGGTGCGGAGTCCAGGCTGCGGCTCTCAGTGAGGATAGACCACCTCCCAGAACTAAACCTCTTCCCTCTCATACACATTGGGCCTAATCATCCTACTCACATTAACCCTGCAACCAGAGCACACCTCCACCTATTGATTGTGTCCAGCTGTGTAGAAGAAGGCAGAGCCAGCACTGGACATGCCCCATCCGTTCACTAGCAGGCTCCCTGTAACAGCTGGGGGATTGTGTGTGCCAGTGTGTGTGTACTGGAGATGTACAGACCGATCCTCCGAGCAGAGACTGCTGACTGCTCGGGGTCCTGGGCTAATGTCATCACTTCCCATCCTAGGGGAACCTGACACTTCACTGCTACATGGACTACTGTGTGTGTATATATATATATATATATGTATGTATGTATATATATATATATATATATATATATATATATTTATTACAGGTACTTATATAGCGCCGTCAAGTTACGCAGCGCTTTACATATATATATATATTGTACATTCACATCAGTCCCTAACCCTCAAGGGGCGTACAATCTAAGGTCTCTAACTAACATTCATACATACACATAGTAGGGCCAATTTAGACAGGATCCAATTAACCTACCAGCATGTCTTTGGAGTGTAGAAGGAAACCGGAGTACCCGGAGGAAACCCACGCAGGCACAGGGAGAACATGCAAACAGGTAGGGGGTGCCGTGGTTGGGATTCGAACCAGCGACCCTAGTACTGCCAGGCGGACGTGCTACCCATTTAGCTATATATATATTAAATGGTCATGCCTGTAAACAGGCTGTGAGACAATTGTGAATTTGAGTTGGAGACACTGGGGCCATCTAGGAGGCATATAATAACTTAAAGTGGCTGTCATGGCTAAATATGATTGGATAATAACTCTAATATAGAACATACACTACTGGCAGCAGTGCAACCAAGGGAAAAGCTATGAAATGAAGAGAATATGCTGTTGGGAATAATTTAATACACATTCATGGAAAAAAATATATAAAAAACATAAGAATATAACTAGACAGACTCAACTTTCAGCATTAATCTTCATGGTGATAGAAAAGAACTTATTGTTGGAAGTGAAACACACAGATAACCACTTTCTGACCTGCCACAGTATACAATATTTAGATCAATTCCAATCCCAATTAAATCTTCATATCTAACAAAACTACAATCTATGCTTAAAAAATACATCTGGGGAAATGTGAGACCTAGATGCGCACATAATATATTAATCAAACACAAAAAAATAGGAGGAATGTGATTTGTTGACATTAGGGACTATCCCAAAGCGTCATTATTAGACCAACTCAAACATTGGTTTATAGTGGAAGATGATACAAAATGGGGTGGCATTGAAAAAACTCTAACCTCTATTACAGATTTAAGTGTCATACTACTAGCAAGCTTGTGGCAAAGGATTCCCACTAGTAAAACAACTATCTCAAATTGGAAACATAATGGCATACGCACAATACAAGATATTTGTGTTAATAACTACATACAAAAATTTTGAATTCCTTATGAAAGAATTTAACCTCCTTCCTTCTGAAAAATCAACCTATACTCGCATCAGTCATTGCATATCGAAACATCCAGTAAAAAATATATATATACCCAAAGTATCTTTACAGTTCTATAGCTCCTCTACTCCTAAATCAGGTGGTATAACCCTATTTTATAACTTTCTACAATGTAAATTAGAATTTAATAAGACTACTGTACTCTTAATCAAGGGGGAAAAAGACTTCGAGACTGATATCTCTAATGAGCAGTGGGAAAGAGCATTCAGGAATGTTTTTTTAGCTACTAGATCTATTAACCTTTGGGAGCTAATGCACAAAATTTCCACAAGATGCTATCCAACTCCTTACCAAATGCATATCTAATCCATTATCGACTTAGTGACAGATATTCTTCTAGCATCAAGACTTACCATTACTAGACACTGGGAAAAAGACTTGGCCCCTTCTCTAAAAGAAGTCATTGAGCTAGTCCAGACCCACTTCATCTATGAGAAATCTTTAGCTTGCCTAAACTATAGAATTACCAAATTTGCCAACGCTTGGAAATCCTGGTCCGACTGGTTCAGATCTGTAACCTAAGATATTATTATGTTTAACCTTTTTTTGGATACTCTAAAATGATTATTTCATGGAACTAGTAGGACTGTTAGGAATTATTCAATATTTCCTTTTTTTCTCTCTTTGTTAAACTTTACCGCAACACCTATACTGTGATCAGAATACATAAAGGGGGAGGTGCAGCGCTAACTTAATGTGCCTAGAGTAGTACCATCGGCCGACTTCTACCGGCGGTTGATTTGTTTTTAGGTCATAGCGAAGTCAATTTTATAAGTCAATTACTTTTCTGATTATATTATTTTATTCTATTTTTATTATTTTTAATACAGGATTATTCCATTTTTAACCATTGTATTGTAATTTTATTATATGTTTCTTATATGACTGTTGTAATTAAATTTAATACGTTATGTTTATTTCCCTATATTTGAGATATTGACTGTGAGTCTATTATAGGTTGTGGTATTAACAATGACCACCAGGCATAATTTGCATTCTAAACTTGATTTTTTTGGCCCAGAGAATCACTGTTTATGCATGTGCCGACCAGACTGATAATAGAACTGTCTGCCTTTGATCCGCGCTGCATATGGGTTCCTGGGCTATACACCTTTCCCTGGTGATCATCGTTATGCCATTCATTGTGTAACTCCGTATTCACGGTGCTGATCAGACTGATAATAGAGCTGTCTGCCTTTGATCTGTGCTGCATATGGGTTCCTGGGCAATACACCTTTCCCTGGTGATCATCATTATGCCATTCACTGTATTACTCCGTACTGACGGCGCTCGCGCATGCGCTGTTCGGCGGGCTACATGAAAATGGCGCCCGATACGGAGACATTTGTTGATTGGAAAATGGCGCGCGACCACGGCGCATGCGCCGCTTTCCTTATTTAGGTCCTTTACAGACGTCCACCGCTGTAAGCTAACCCCCTATGACTACGTGCCTTCGCACGAAACGCGTCACAGAGCGGCTACAGTGGTGTGACGTCACGCCGACCGGCGCCACGAGGGCCCCGGCGGCCATTTGCTAACTTATATGTATGCTCAGTATCTTTCCTGCTCCTGCCTGCATTGTGAG